AAAGTGTTTCAAAACGCTCATGTTGTTGGTAAGTTGTTATTATTATTATTATTATTATTATTATTATTATTATTATTCGAATTATATATCCACATTTTATTAATTTGTATTCATTGACTCATTACAGAAATCTATATCAGTCACTTTTCATCGTTAAAAGCACCGTACCATCATCATCATACGCATATTGTATCTCGATTATACAGAATGTCTGATTTTTTTGGCAATGTTTTGTGTCGATTTGTTGTACGGGATTTAGGCGTATTGGCGGATAAATACGTTAAAAGAGGTGGCCATTGGGTTACAGATTAACGAAGCTGAAAATGGCGATACACTTTAATTTTATCGGTCTATATGTTTTTTGTTTGTTGGTTGGTTTGTTTAATTGTTGATTAGTTAGATTTTATTATTGTATTATCAAAATTGAACTCTTACCTTTTTATTGAAGCTTGTATGTTGTATGCTAATAATTATTTCATTTTCATCATCATCATCTTTCATCATCATCACATTTGTGAATAACTTTTTCTCTTGTCAAAATTCTGTATTTTATAGTTATTTTTTTATTTATTTGTTCACCAGACGGCGACTGATTCCACTATTTTTATTCTTGCCTATTAATTTTTCATTACTAATACTATTTATATGGAATCACCGCACGAGTTTTAATTATTGTATAGATTATTTATTTTCACGTATATATGCACATACATATATATTATGTATTAATATACATTGGGAATGTGTGGTGTTTTTATATTTGTGTACGAGATATATAATAACTATAATATTTATTGATGATCTAATTTCAATCATCACTGTTGTTATAATTATATAAATATTTAATAATCACACATTTATCCTATGAAAAAGCATTTTATTATTTCGCTGGTAGTATTAGTTTCTTTGTATAAAAACATTATTTTACCCATTTAAATATATTTGCTGTATATCTACTGATTTGTTTATTTATGTATGCTCATGTGTGTACTTATATATCATCTGTTAATATCATTGTTAAATGAAGAATTAAAAATAAATAGGTACTTTTCATTATTATTCTCGATCTCTCTTTACAGGTATTTTAGTAATATCCAAGACATCCTAATTTTTTATAATAATAATAATTATTATGGTTATTATTGTTACTATTATCATTATTCAGAAACATATTATAAATATGTATGAGAGAGATTGATACTAAAAAAATAATAATAAAAAAATACAGAATATGCCCGATACAAAAAGTAGACTTTTTGTCCATCCTTCTTTAAAGAAGAGACTACTAACGACTATATAAAAAATATATATGTAAATTGGGCTTTATATCAATACAGTATAAATTTGTAAGAACGAGAAGAAAAGGTATATATCACAAAAGGAAGGAGAATTTGCAAACACCAGCACAAGATTTTTAATATGTATGTATGTATAATATTTGCAGCAAATTAATAAAAAGTGAGTAAATAAATTACCCACTTGAAAAAAAATGTTCCACGCATAAACATCTCGACTTTAAGTGTCTGTCTATGCAATTATCAAAAGAAAATAGGTGATATTATTCACTATTTTCCAACAGCGCTGGCAGTTTGCGTTTTAATTTTATCTAGTTCATCTTTAATCATTTTTCGTGATGGTCCATTTGCTGTCACGGTGGGGTTTTTAGCTGTTATTAATGTAAGATTTACTGATGAATTTTCAGGAGAGGTTTGGCTAGAACTCGGAGTACCCAATGATGGATTCGTAGAATTTTTTTTGTTGAGCAGCGTTTGAAAGAAGTTTGCAATAACCTCATTTTGAGATGGTGGTTGTGCTGCACCATTGGGGGCTACTGGACTCGTCGTTGTGATAAGTTCAGGAGTTGACTGAGGTGTGGCTTTGGTAGTGTCCTAATAAAATAATGATGGTTATAATTTCATTAAAGGCATAATAATCATGATGAATAATATTTAAATGATCTTACTTTAGTTAATCTATATCGCGCAATTCGTTCCTCCAACGCATAATCAATACCTCCAATATTAGTGTATGCATATGTAGCAGCAGCCATAGGTCCAACAACTGATGGAGAAGTAAAGCGCTCACTAATGCCCTTTTGTTGAGCATCGAAATGACGTTCAAAGAACTCCTGTTCATCTTCTGCAACTATCAAATTTTGAATAGTAGGCTTTTTTTATTTTTGAAGTATGAAAAATGAAGGTTAATCGTTAAATTTGTAGATAAATTAAAAATAAATAAATAAATAAATAAATAAATAAATACACACCTTATCAGAATCCTTATGAGTCACAAACGAATCATATTCTTTTAAGAAACTAAGATCAGTCTCATCCTCCACTTCTTCATTACGCGCACGCGATTGTCCTTCCAACATATCATGATCCCAGCTTTTTAGCCAAGACTCGCAATCAAATTCATCTCGTACTACTTTAATTTTTCCCCAAGAGTCCCATCCGGCCGGAACCATGACAATATCTTGTGCAATAACGTTCGCCTTTTTAGTGAAGGCATAGTTTGATTTAGTGTCATTGGAAGATGAGTTTTCCCCGAGAAGCCGATGTAAAATGTATTGGCGGAGATCACTAAAAGTTTGTGATTGTTTGACGCTGGTATAGAAAAGTGCAGCTCCATCTTTTTGATTGTTTTAGTTGTTATGTATTTCAGTTTATATTCCCATTAACGTTAAAACTAAATAAATATGCGCAGACTAACATATATTTTAAAATTGAAATATTTTTAACTCACATTTTAGGCATATAGTTCGTAAGCTTTGTTGAATGAATACAAATGTCTCTTCGTTGTACCCTAATTCTTGTTGACGGTCAGACTACAGAAAAATTATCAATAATCATTATTAATAGCAGTATTAAAATAGTAATGTATTTAATTCATAGCGTTGTGCATACACAACCTTTGCACAGACAACAATCAGTGGGATTCCCAAGTTCTGTGTAAGCGTTCCCTGGCCCAAAGGTAATGCAACATCAGAATCATCAACAGGAACATTAGTATTCGTATTAGCGGCATTTGGTTCCTTGGGTTCCTTGTAATTCTGAATGAAGCGTTCAACTATTTGTAGGTAGAAATTTTTAAATAATAATAATAATAAAGTAAAAATAAAAAATAGTATAACATTTCAAATGCTTACGTGACTCTACTAGTCCGTCAACAACCACTTTGCCTTGAGTCCAGCCATCTTTCGAACCAGGTATCTGACCCTCAGCTTTCACATTCTGTATTGCACTCTCTAAAACCTTAATCCATCTCTGTAATGTCTCGGCAAACGTCCAAGGACGGGCCCAATCAAGAACAATTACCACGAGCGAGTCCGGTAAAGTTGTAACATTGAGCACAAATCGGAGGAGTGAATGATAAGCTGGCTGGCTCCCAGCGAGCTGATATAGACCAAGACGAGCAATAGTATCTTTTTTTATGACATATTTTTTTTGTTGTTAAAATTTGATTCTATAGTAAGGTTAAATAAACACATACATTGTCGCTCAATTCTCTAATAATTCATTTTTTTAGTAACAAGACGAACCTTCAGCTTCATCCTTATCCTTAATGTCTAAGTAGGTATAGCTTAACGCCAAATCATTTTTTTTGTGAACTTCATTCGTGTCAGTTTCTTCTTTGTTGTTGCTATTATCACCAGCAGTCTTTGCGGTAACTCCATTAGGTAAGATTTTTTCTTCCCGGTTTTCGCCTTTAAACTGTTTGATGAGACTAGATTTGCCTGAATCTCTATCGCCTACAACGACCCACCCAAAAAAGATGCACGCAGTAATTGGGAATAAGTTTCGCAAACATTTAGATGTAAAACTCTGGCCGTTTCTCCAAGTATAATCATACAATTCTGTTTTTCCGCCAAAACTTACCAAGTATTAATACATTTTTAGTTGGAACAAACTTTGAAGAGGCAGCACTTTTTAGAATGGAAGACCAAATCTCTTGTTGGTCTGTTGTCGTTGATGTGGCAGAACCCTCTAATTGAGTAGTCTTTTCATCGTCTAGTGTAGAATCTCCTGTGTTTGGCGCCATTTTTTTTTGAATTGTTGCAGTAGAGAAAAAAGAATGCGAATCTATATATATTTGTATAGAATAGCTAGATAAAGTGTATATGTATAACTCGACTCGGGGTGTATACAAGCAATGTGACGTTGCTCAAATGAGGGCTCACACAGATTCAAGGATCACGGGGGATTTGCAGACTTGCAGGGAGAAAAAATCATGAAACATTGGCTTGGCTCAATAACTAACCAAATTGAGTTATAATCTTATTGATTTTTCTGTTGATTGATAGTTAAATAATGTCATTATCATCGTCATCTTCACAAGAAGCCAGGATCTTTTTATCAAAGATTTTTTCAAATGAGAATGATGATCATAATCGAAAACGAGCATTTGTGACATTGACATATGCGCAAAGTCTGGATGCTAAAATTGCAGGTCGTGGTGGCAAGAAATTGGTGATAAGTGGTCATGAATCGATGATTATGACGCATCGGTATATATTATATTTGTAAAATCTAAGATTTGGAAGAGGATTTTTCATATTTTTTATCGTGCACATATATAGGATGCGAACTTTCCATGATGGTATTTTGGTAGGGATAGGCACCGTGTTTAGTGATGATCCTAGATTAACAGGTATGAACACATGAATTTAGAATAAGATGCTAATATTTATTAAACTTCTTAATGGTTAGCAAGATTACTCGACCCGGACGAAGAAAAAACGACAATACAACCGCAACCAATAATTTTAGATTCGTCTTTGCGGTTCCCACTTTCAGCTCAATTATTAAAGCAAATAAAAAAAGAAGATGGTAGTAACAAAGATGTTAGGGTAAAACCTCCTTGGATATTTACTAGTGATAAACATGATCCGTCGAAAAGAGAGGTAAGAAAAAGGAGTAATCAAAAAAGAATTATTATTTATTAACTTTAATCTTATTGATAGTTATTAGAACGAGCAGGTGCCAAAGTATTCGTTATTAATACAGATCCAAAAGATGGTCAGTTTAGCTCTTTTGAGTTCATCATAAAACTTATGCATGCTAATGTTTAATCGACAATGATGAATATGCAAAAAAAAATCATAGGACATCTATCCCTAACTCACCTATTAACAACTCTTAGCTCTGCGCCACTCTCACTGACACGTATCATGGTGGAAGGTGGCTCAAAAATCATCAATTCGTTTTTATCAAGTGGGCTTGTAGATCAACTTGTTGTTACTATTGCGCCCATTTTTGTTGGTGGTGATGGATTATCGGTTTTTGATGTTGGAAAATTGATTAACCATAAAGATGATGAAAATGCGGATAACAATAAAAGTGGTGATGAAAATCAGGTAATATAGAAATTGATAAATTTTTAAAAAGGATAAAATTAATTTTTCTGATATTATTTTAGGAAGAAATACTTGGATTTCCTCTATGTGATAATGTAACGTATAAACAGTTTGGTAAAGATATTGTGATGTCCGCACAATTAATTTATGATCAATAAATCACGATAACATATTATTTAAATTGATGATGACATAATTTACACTTTAACAACTACAGGGAAAAAATTATATTTTTACTTAATTAGAGAACGCGTTTTTTATAAATTTTAGAAATATATCATATATTCACAATAAATTAGTCAAATTAGTTCCCTTTTTATTGATTGATAGAAAGATAATATTTTTGCTAAACGAAAAACCACAGAGGAGTGAAGAATAATATGAATAATAATAATTGTCAGAAAGAATGATGATCTTGTTCTGTGGCTGTAATTATAATGATCTATATTAATCAATAAAATTTTCAAAACATATTTAACGATGGAAATTATTAATACAAAAGACAAACATAGCAGTTTAATAACATCATATCTGAAAAGTATCGATGACTTTTTCATTTTTCAGCAAGACCAAAGAAATGCAAAATCTCGAAATCAGAATAATTACGATATTGCTAATAATAATAATGATAATAGTAAAAATATTCTAATTATTTTTACGGATATTATCAAATCTCTGAAAATGATAACTGCTGAACTACAATCGAATCGAAATTATCGGTGTATATTAAAGAGTTTCTTGAATCTTTTTTTTTGATTTTCTAAATATACTAATTATCTTAAAATAGAAATGAATTATCCAAAAACAAGGAATTTTTGGAAAAATCAATAATTTTGACAAAAAATTTTTATGATGAGTTATCGTCAAAAGAGGAAGAAAAAAGAGGGAAAAATGACCTGGACCTGAGTCCGAGTTATTTGGAATTGACTATGTGGCTATTAAGGATGATTAGAAATTTTGTTGCTGAAATAGAGGCAAATCAAAATAGTGCAGTGTGTGTTTTGTATAATCATTCATTTTGTTTGTTATTAATATCTATCGAATGTTTCGTTAATTATCACCTTATTGGATTTTCGGCAGAAAATTTGGGTGGCATAAAATTATCGAAAAAATCTTATTTTATTGTATCTCGAACCTGCATCGACAACAAAATCAACAAAGTATGTTACATATCTCTTGTTTTCCAATAAAATCTAATAATAACAGAAATATTTCTACAAAAGTGTTATTGTTAAATATAACAAGATCAGGTACACAAGCATTATCAAATATAATTACTGGTAACTCAATTACGCAAAAAATCATCTGGGACGAGCTATTACTGTCACCTTCGAAAGATAAAATAGAACCGCCTAATGAAGATTTATTAAGGTACTAAAGTAACAAATTATATTTTACTTACCATTATTTCTTTATTATAAATTTTATATTTTTTTCTCGACTTGATAGTAAGTTAGCTTCTTGCGGCGATGACATCATACTTTTAAGTACACTCGTGCTAGTTTTCAATACTATCCATGATAATGAATCACTGTGGTAATTATTGTTATTATTTTAACAAGTTATATATATATAAATGCTAAGATTTGATGTTAAGCTTCCCTTTCTTTTGAGCATAGTATAGCATTAATAGAATCTAGCACTGGTACTCGATTACTAAAAATCATTTTATATGAAGTTCGATCTTTTATTAACGAAGAAGAGGATATTCTTAATGAGGAGAAAGAAACAAAGAAAAGTTTTGAATTGATGTACTTTCGATTGATTTAATTCAAATTCGTTTACTCCCTGTTGATATTGCGAATGATTTATCATTTTTTATTTTTATTTAGAGATGCTGTGATGTCCAGAATAATAGAATTAGATCTTTTCCCGCTACTTTTTGAGAAATTATATGAATCGGAAGCTATTGGGTAGGTAATCATATTTTCTTTGTATATATTTTTTCTATTTTACCAATTCTTAAAAATTCTACAATTATTTATTCAGACCTCAAAATACCACAATAAACCAGGATCAAATAATCCTTTTGAAACTACTCTATTCCAAAATCTTTAACGATAATTCACCATTATCGTTACCAAAATTATCACAAACATGTTCCCATCTTATTTGTCTATTTAATTCAATTACACCAGAGATTATTAAGGAGATGGAAGCTATAAAGAATGATAACAATACTACTAACACGCTGTCAGCAGAACTTGAGTCTGAATTAATCGAGGATGGTGCAATATCGGCAAAAATAAACGACACCTGTTTGAGGCTCTTATTAAATATCTTTGGAGACTTGAGCCAATCTTTAGATGATGAAATAAACGAAGCGAATGATTGCAATAATAAAGTAGACATTCGTGAATATTTGTTTAAGAATGGAATTCTTACATCTTGTATAGGTAATTGTTGAATATTATATTTTTTTATTAATTAAATTAATATTTGATTTTCCAATTTAGATTTATTAAAACAAGCAGACTCAATATTGCCACGAGTAACAAAAGCCACAACATCAATATCAATCAACAATAAGGAAACCAATACAAAATACAATTACATCAAATACGACATCGTTAAAATAGTCAGTAATCTGGCATACGAAAATAGAATCGTACAAGATAAGGTTGTTAATAATAATTGTAAATCATCCAATATAATAAATATTAACATCTATTAATTAGGTAAGAAAATTAGGTGGTATTCAATTGATCTTGAATCAATGTAACATCGATGATAACAATCCATGTAAGTTATTTAAAACACACACACACACATATATATATATATATATTTGCATTCATACAATTCGAAAATCCATAATCACACCTCTTCCCGTAGTTCTACGAGAACAATCAATATTCGCAATTCGAAATCTATTATACCAAAACTCAGAAAATCAAAAACTCGTTGGTGAACTTACACCGATCCGTGCTGTACAAAGCGATGATTTGGGTATTGGTATCAAGACTGTTGGTGGTCCAAGCTATTCAAAAACACTATAATATTAAGAACTTGTTTGTTTGGTGTAACTCGATTATACGTGTTGTGTACAATATCGATATAATACAATCTAAATTAGAACTTTACTAAAATATAAATATATACTTTACAAATCAATATTCAATTCCTAACTATGAAGATCATAAATTTAGATATTTAGCGTTTAGATGCAAGCTCGTCGCGAATCTAACGATAATAAATGTCTTCGCTTCGAGGTGTCTCTCTGAGGTTTTTTCGTCCTACAACACGTATTCTTCGACCTGCAGTCTTTCTCTCACCTAATGCCACATTATTTAACACCAACCTTTTGATATCACGAGGAATTTCCACTATTGAACTTCGGCCATACCAGAAAGAATGCATTAAGAAATGCATGGACAAGTTTTTAAAAGAGAAAGTCAAACGGCAGATAGTTTCATTGCCTGTCGGCAAGTATTCTACGCGTATATTTAAACTTTTTAGTTTCTGTTTATTGACATATTAGAAATATTTGGCATTAGGAAGCGGGAAAACGGTATTCATAGTTTTGAACATCTCTGCAAAAGAATTAAATAATATCTTGTTTCATAAAAGTAACTTGTACACAAATGTTGAACAGTTATTTTTTGTTTAGGTTATTTTTACGAGCCTTATAAAAGAAATTCCGGAACCATTTCCTGGGGCCAATAAGGTTTTAGTAGTTGCTCATCGACAGGAACTTTTGGATCAAGCTCATAAGCATATCTCCCAGAGATTACCCGATTCTGTGAGTATATCTTTTGGTTATACGAGAAGTAAAATCTAGAATAATCTAATTATAACTTTTTATCAAGGTTGTTGAAATAGATCAAGGGAATAGACGTGCAGTTGGATTTGGCGATATTATAATAGCAAGCGTACAGAGTCTAGTAAGTCAAAAATCACAGCGTATGGAAAAGTATGATCCAAAACAATTCAAAGCTATCATAATTGATGAGGTATGTTCTTCGAGGTTAATGTAATGTAACCTTTATGTATATTATTCTATATTTAAGTTATTTTTTGACCAATAACAAATAGGCTCATCACGCAGCCGCAATGACATATCGTAAGATTTTTGAATATTTTGGAGCTGACTCGGAAGACACACATTTATTTGTTTGGGGATGCTCGGCTACAATTCGAAGACACGATGGTCTTGCACTTCAATCCTTATTTGATGAAATTACTTTTCATAGAGATTTCTTGGATATGATACGAGAAAAATGGTGAGAGAATTGTCATTATCTTAGCTATAGAACTATGCGTTTATACCTTACCTCACCAATGACTTTTTTCTATAGGCTATGCAATATTAAAGTTACAACAATAAAAACCGAAATTGATCTCAGTAAAGTTAAAACGTTAAATGGTGACTTTGTGGCGAGTGATCTTTCCAAAAAGGTGAATGTCCCAGGGCGAAATAAAATCATTGTAGGAACATACTTAAAATATGCAGGTATTATGATAGTGTGTATACAGTGATATCAATGTTATTATATCTGAATTTCTATCATTTGACTAATTATTAATTTTTTATCAGCTAATAGAAAATCAACCCTGGTTTTCGCGGTAGATATTGAGCACATAAAGCAGTTGACTGAAGAGTTTCGTGGCGCTGGGATAGAAGCTCATGGAGTTAGTAGCCATACGCACAAAAATGTCAGATCCCATCTTCTGAATGAATTCAAAGCCGGAAAATTTCCAGTTTTGGTGAATTGCGGCAAGTGTTTTTGGATCCAAATTTACAATACCATATAATGTTACTTTCATTTTGAACAGAGCTAATAAGACAAAGCATAGGTAGCTTATTTAGTAAAAAAAAATTACGATATTTCAGGTATTTTAACAGAGGGTACTGATATTCCTAACATTGATTGTATATTGATGAGTCGACCTACAAAGTCTGCTGTATTGTTCCAACAAATGATGGGACGTGGAATGCGCCGTGCCGAAGAAAAAGAGAATTGTCTCATTATAGATTACGTTGATTCGTACACCAAGTTTCATGACGTAAAAACATTACCAACTTTGTTTGGATTATGTCCGGAGGAAGAGCTGGAGAGTGAGAGATTTTATTAATAATTTCTATGGTATCCAAAATAATTAATTTATATTAATTATAATTCGGCGAAATATGAAACAGATCAAGATCCGTTGGAATATGAACCAAAAGAGGAAGAAGGCTTGCAACATGAATCTCTGGAATCACCTGAATCCCCGGTATCACCTGAATTAGAAGAAAAATTAAATTCAGGAGAATTGTTAAAGGATCTACAAGTCACCGAATGGGATAATCCTTTTGAATTATTAGAAGATTGCTCGGGTGATGTACCTTTTGGAGAAATAAGTATAAATGCATGGGTTAAAGTTGGCGCCGATATGTATGTTCTGTCCATGAGGGGAGGAACAACCCTAAAATTAGCAAAAAATGAAAAAATTGGTATTTATCTTTTTTTTATTATTCAATTCTAAATACATTATTTTGTTATTTACTTATTGCTTAATATTTAACAGGACTCTATGAAGCTAAGTTAAAAATAACAACTCATAATTTTCAAAGGTTGTATCTACCACTGCTGGTAACGAGTGATAAACTTGACCACGCAATAAAAACCTGCGAAGCTAATTAAAATTACCATCTCGTAACTTTTATCAAAGGCTTTCTCTATCATTGCCAATAACGAGTGATAATCTTGATCATGCAATAAAAGCATGCGATACTTGGGTAGAATCGAATATGTCTGTACCTACACGATCACTTGTTCGACGCTCTGCAGCCTGGCGATCTGATCCAATAACTTCGGAACAAAAAAAAGTTTTGATAAAAAGCGCTTCCAAAATCGAAAAGTGGACAGACATCGAGAAAATAGATACGCTTACCAAAGGGCAAGCAGCGAACATGATTACCTGTTTGAAAGAAGGTGCAGTGGGAAACTGGAAGCGTACGCAAAAACAAATAGAGATTCAAAAAAAGAAAGAAATGAAAGAAATGATACGTGTGCAAAAAATACAAAAAAAGAAAGAAATCGAGATTCAAAAAAAGAAAATCAAAGAAATGAAGCATGGTCCAATATCGGAAGGTCGATTGAGCTCATTACAGTGCTAAACACAAAAATTATTATCTTTTTCAAATATATAAAATATGAGTAAGTGAATGGTTTTATTTAAATTGCTGCATTTATGTTGTTTATAAAGAAAATTCGTCGGTCTGCTTGTAAAATTATAGATAATCCTTCGATATATTGTAGAGAACTCTGTTAGTTTGGACTTGAAGTCGGTTCATTGCGTAAAAAATCGCAGGTACGTTGCATTTATCAAGAATAAAAGTAAACAGGGGAATACTTTATTGTATGCTGCTATTCGAATAGAAAGTAATTAAACCTTATTAGTGAAGTGCAAAATGAAATCATAAAAATTGCCCAATTTTCATAAACTGACATTGAAAATACAAGCAGAAGAGTTGTTATTACGTATCGTATATCGCTCGCTTGTATCAGATGTTCCGCTTTTCATAATTCACACGTTATATACATTTACCCATAAAAAACTGCTTTTTTCGCGTTATATGGGCTCGGTGCTAGGATCAGCAATTTGGAAAAATTCACTTCTCCACTTCACTAGTTCAAAACGTAAATCATCAAAAATTTTGTTTACTCTCATCAAAACAAGGATGCCTTGGCAATTGACAGTGTCACAAATGGTATTCCATCACTTGCCTAACCTTATAACCTTATTGAGCAAATACAATAATCAAGGTTGTAATAGTGGACTTGTCTCTTTTCACATATAATGTCCATGTTGGATACCCTGGTCTACAAAATTTTTATTAGACAGTAAGATTGATGTAATTTTGATTTATTTAAAAAATTTTTATTTGAATATCGATATTGCATTATTTTTTGCATTATGTCGATTCAAAGGGTGCGCCAGAACTTCTCTCACTCGATTGTGATTGTTTCGAATCATTATATGCACTATGTAAGCATATCTTCCATATTGAAAGATTGTGTAATAGATATAGGAAAATTAAGGAGAGGGATTCTGGACAAGCTGAGATGTTTATTTCTAAACTGAAGGATTTTTTGAATTCAATTATTAGCGAGCATGATATACTTTGATTTTTCGTTTAAATATTTATTTTATACTTAGTTGAATACTATTTTTATTTTAAAGATAATTTAGAATCAATAATTGATAGTTTTGTATTTATTATTTTTATCATATGAATCGAATTTTCTTAATCGAGCATGAGTAGAATATAAAATATCAGGATGATTCAGTGGCTACAGCAGAGACCGTCAAAGTTACACACATTGTCGATCCTGTTGTACAGAATCCAGATTTGGCGCAAGAAAATTCCGGCCAGTTTGTGCGTAATTTCTGGTCAGAATAAGCCTTAATGTTGGCCCAGAATTCATAAAAGTCAAAATATGCATATTACACAAATTTATATTTTATTTTATTTGTAAATAAGAATATTATTTACAGTTCTAAAAATGATGTTTTTGCATGCTCTAATAGATGCTTCATTATCAATGCATCATCTATTATCTCATTCACATCATTTAAGTCATCTTTAGCAACATTTTCACTACTTTCATCAATCATTTCATTTTCAACCACTTCTTTCATCATACTCATCAACATTGCATCAACATTTTTTTTATCTCATCTTGAAGATAATCTAGACATATTAAACATTTAGATTGATATCAGTTTAAATAATAAATATAATAATCATGTCCACATATCAAAATTCTATCATCATTTAAATGATTAGAATAATTATAATTTATATAATTACAAAGAATTATAATACTTGATTTTCTGAAAGTAACAAAGCCTCATGGAAGATGTCAATCTGTTATTGTATAATCTAATAAAGATAGTTCATACGTATTAATATTATCAGAAGAGATTTTGATAATTAAAGAATTTTGATTATACGCTTAATATAATTTCATAAATATATCTAATAGTCATATAGTATACTTTCAAGAAAGTATAGATAGTTATTTTGGTATATAAGAATATTTAATGAACTTCACAAATTATTCTCAAAAAGCAGTTTCATATCACTGTTAAAATATAAAATGAACTTTCTTCTGCAATTGTTTAGCAGTTAAAAACTTGGCAATACATTATTGAATAATATTATAAACTATTTCTACAAGACAATCACTTAGAGTAGCAAGATGATTAGTAATTATATCTATCATCAGATGGTTAGTTTTTATTTAATAAAATATATTAGAGAAAAATATTAACAGTACATACTTATAATTTCTTTGATCAAACTATAGAAAAAGATCACTCCAGTAATACATATAGATCTCTTCATAAGCTGGCCAATTATCACTTTGATGATGTACTACATAAACATCAAGTACTAAGAGTATTAGATTACTCAGTAAATCCATTATATATAAAAATTCAAGATTTTTACATTTACAACCAAATTTCAAGTAAACTTCATCAACTATATCAAACTATGTTATACGCATAATATGAAGAATAAGATCAATTCTCCATGATCATGGTTTCTTATCAAGATTTTTACATAAATCAAATATATCTTTATAAATATTATTAAATAAGAACAAATTTTTCAAAAATATAAATTCACAGATATTTAAGGATATAGAGAGAATCTATCATTGGTAAAACTAATATAATATACTAAGAAATAGTTTCATTATTTCCAAGAAGCCATTGTGCAAGAGCTTTATAAATGTATAATTAACCTGGCCAATCTGTAACTATTGGAATTGCATATTCAGAAAAATATATTTGCATAAATTATTGATTATAAATGATTTGAAGAGCATCAATATATCTATTTATATCCTTCAAGTTATGTTCTATAAAGTCAAAAAGAATAGCATTCTGTATATATCGATCTCCTCTTTTTCTATTATCCTATCATCATAGTAATGTAATGTTAATTTATCAATAAATTTATTATCAGAATATTCTCTCACATAAATTTATATGTGATTATAGTAATGAATATTAAGATTTGTAATAAATCATCTATCAAGATGCTTTATAATCAGCTTCTTGTCAATAATCTTTAGATTAAATACTCTATTATGTAGAATTACTGGTGCAGAACATGGATTTGCTATAATTATTATCATATATACTGCTCAAGATGTATTTATAGTATTTAATTATCTTTGAATATGGATATTATGATAGTTATTAATATTTAATATTAAAGTCTTTTCTAAATTATCCATAAGATAATCTTTTACGTATTCTTCATGCTCATCTGATATTCTTTTTTTCTTATGATCTACTACTCTTGAAGTTATTATTGCATCAAGATTTGCTATAGTATTTAGACTCTCATTACTTGTACCTGCTAAATCTAAATAATATGTCAGATCAAACTTGAGATAGTTAATTTTTGTGTTATTTAGTGAAGTAAAAAGATAACATATAAAAACTATTAATCTTTTTATATGATTTATTATTTATATATTATATTCTATTAGTTGGACTGCCATATAAAGCTGATTAAAAAAAGTCTTTAGACTAGGCTTCTTTTCTTGAAACAAGTCTTGCATTTAATCAAATAAATATATTAGATCTTCTTTCTTCATATATTCTCTTTTATAAAGAATTTTACTTATTATCTTGATAGCTTTAGTTAGCTTAATCTTTATACCTATCTCTTTTTCATTTACAACTTTCACTTTTTTAACACCTCTTCTTAATGAATTTTCTACAAATTGCATATAACAAGTATTACATAGAATAACTCCTTCCTCTCACATTTACTTTACTAAATCTTTATTCAGAGTATCTCTCCATTTCTCTCCACTTAATGAATGAAATTTAATCAAGTCTTTAGAATTGCATTCTGTACAATACTTATCCTTAGGCATTTTTATTAAGTAATAGCTATACAAGGATGAGAGATTCAACAGAATTCAAGAAATATAATATTCTGTACTATAAAAACTTCAAGTTTACTTAGCATTCCCAATTATATTTTTTTGTAGTGATGAGTTACACAATTTTGCAAAAAAGTATTTTAAAATATATAAAAACTTGATTTATTGAATTATATAATACTTTTCTTATATAGGAATAGTCTCTGCTATATTTAGTAGCATGCAAAAATAATATGTCACTTGTATTATTGATATTTAATCACACAATTCTCAATCATGAAAGATCTGACAAATATATAAATGATAATATATTAGTTATTAGTTAATTCAATAAAAAATGACCTGATATTATTATGGATAATAATTGTTAATTCTGTATAAATGATGATGCATTTTTTTTTGCTATTTTTTAAATAAAAATAAAAATCTTTTTTATTTAAAAAAAATAATAATCAGATAAAAAATTATATAAAATATTATTTTTACCATCGTGTATAATCTCTCTATGCTTTAATCATATTATTGATTCTTTATGATATTATATTAATTAAATTAATATAATAATTAATATTAATATTATTTTACATTTCTTCTATCTTTTCCTATAGATTATTCTTATTGGTAATTATATTCAGAAGATGAAGATCTATTTCTTGTTAAAGATTTTTCAATAGGATTTAGATTGTGTGATTATGATAATCAGCTTAAGACAGTTATATAATTATTAGTAATCATTTTATCTATGTAATAATATTAGATTAGTTATTAATAATTATAATATATTTATCTTTTATTTCACAGATTGTTGCTGCACTATATACTGCATCACACGTGACTTACTGTATCACAATTATCTGATCATGCCAAGAAAAGTCATCTGATTATTTTGAGTTATTTTAGCTATAAATAGTTTCTTAGTAGAATTTCTCTTTTCTCTTGTTCTATTAATTTAGCTAGCATATTACTAAATTTATATATTTCATTTAT